TGCTCTCCACTTTAAAATGATCCAGTGGTCTTTTTGCAAACCAATAGAGCTAACAACCTTCGTCAAAATTTGATGTGGGTTTTACAAAGATATTAGGAACACCGCGAATGTAGATTGCAGATCAAAATGGTTCAACAATTTGGATCATCATAGCCCAGCCATGTTTTTTTGGGAAATGATCAACGATTCATCTGAATCGATTATTGATGCATATTTATGTCATGAACCATTGTACATGCGCGCTCGCAAATCTTCGAAATAAAAACCTCGACGCCAAGCGTTGAAATCTCCATGGTGGCGCGGCGTTGGTCCCGCGTCTAACGCAAGACGTGACCAACGGGTGGACGAAAATGATGAGGCATCTGAAAAAAGCATCTTTGGACGCTTTAGGACATCAAAACGTACACTAAGAAGGTAGTCTGTGCGCGTATTTCACCGGTGCCATTTTTAGATTCATGATAAGAACAGATCGGTCTTTACAGCACCGCGAATGTTGCTGGAATCTGGTGGTGGAACTGGGAGGGCATAGGTAGATTTTCTATTTTTGTGTTGCTGCTTCTGTTTATCCGTCCAGAGGACAGCCTCAAAATTGTAAAAAAAAGAATGGGCATTGTCAGGCAAGCACGCAAGCGTGAGATGGGTTTGTTCCTTGTCGAACTCATGTCGAACCAGTCTATTCAATACAAATGAGACACCTTGTTTCTTTCGGTGCAAAGGCTCTCTTGAGTGGAACACTAGGGGCACATGGCCGTTACCGGTAAAGGGCTGAAGGACCATTCCGTTCCACTGCAGCATGTCTTCCGGGTTTCATTCTGGCGATACGGGGTGGGATTCCCTGGTCGATCCGGACGCCCTTAGAGGGATACATCATATTATATTAGTCCCATCCCTGACGCGGGAGTCCTTTTGACTCGCGCAGCTGGCCCCTCATCGACGCAGGGACCCTTATCGATGTTAACAACATCCCTGGCCGCCGCAGGTGGTCCACTAATTGGCACACCGACTCCAGTTTGGCACAACGGGCCCATGCTGAAATCTGGTTGGAAGGCCCATCGTTCGGTTTTGGGAGCCCTGGCTCCCACAGAGAGCCCTGACACAGGACTCTTCCATTGTCTCAACGTGAACACCCGTCATAAGTTGGCATGTTTCCTTCCATTGTCAGAGGGCTCCAGCCAACACAAGAGGTTCTCTGTCATTCGGGGTCCCGTCCCCGTCCCTGCTGAGCAAATACTCCCCTGAACCACTTGATACACCTTGTTGGTACAGAATACACTGTAGGCACTGCGTTGGGCCCCTGACGGACACAAGAACCCCGCATTGTTGTAGGGGCCCCAACCAGTGCAAATCGCGGGCACCGCCTTGTCCCTGCTTGAAAAATGGGCCCCAGGAGTTCAGAACAGTTCAGGAGCTGACTGTTCGGTGTTGGTGATCTCTGGCCGAAATAGAGGAACGCTCTGTTTCAGGTGTCCCCAAACGGTACAAGAAGCTCTCTAACTGGCATTTCAGGTCACGGCCCTACGTGCAGGGGCGTTTTGGCCGTCCTTCCGTTCTTCCGCCCTTAATGTAGCCTACAGTCGGCCGTTCGGGCCGTTCAGTCTTCCAATCGGGCCCCTGATCTTTGGTTCCGAGACCCTTCGGCCCCTCTCCGGACCTCCTCAAACAGAGCCCGTAACCGACTCGGGGCCACTAGCCGACGCATGACCCCCTTTTAGGCACTGTGGGGATCCTGACCTACATAGGAGCCCCAACGATTGTTTCAGGGATCCATACCAATACCAATCATCCCCCTCGGCCTGACTGGGAAGTGGTTCACGGGTTCAGATTGACGCGGAGTCAACTCTTCCGTGTTCGTGGTCTCTGGCCGACTGAGACGCCCTCGTTGTCTCATTGGCCTTCAGACGTTACAAGAGAATCTCTGACTGGTATTTCAGGTCACTTCCATACGGTCCGCGATTCTTTGTGACCTACAGTCAGTTATTTGGACCCCTGTGCTCTCCAACCGAGCCCTAGATC